CTCTTCAATGCATCTTCAATGACCAAAATACAATTAATGTTGTGGAATCCATTCGATTTGCCCTCTTCTTCATCATCTGCGTCTGAACTATCCACCAAAACCACTCCACAAATTCTAGATCCGTACAGATTGTCGCAATGTGATGCATTTAAAGAACGAACGTATACATTTTATTATCAAAGGCATATATTTTTGAATGGTACAGAGAAATGGGATATGGATTATAGAGCGGAACTTGATGGTTCATCGCACGCCTTTGGTAAAACTAGTTCTACTGGTGTAGTTCATCTAAAACCAGGTAACTAGTGTAATCTTGTTAATCAACAGACATTCTCTTGTTCTCTCAACCATTACTAAATGCCATTGTCAACAGGAAGCTTCCAGGTGCAAACCACTCGAGAAAAATCCATACTTCCCGGAACGTCTATATTCACAAATTTCATCGTCTTGGCTGCCGTGTTGTACACAACCTACTATGCTCTGCTAGGTGGTCGAGGTAAATATCGAATAACCGGCTTGGCACATATGATCACGCGATACTTTCCTCAACAACATTTGGAACGCCCATCGAACACATTTCGAATAGTGAACCCTACTGCTGACGATATTCTAAAAGTTTATTTAAGTGGGATCAGCAAGGCTAAATTTGAAAAGTAAACGTGTTCCAAAAGAAAATAAATAATAAAAGAAAGAGCTGTATTTAAAAAAAATGTTGCTCTCCCTTAGCATCATCGTAATATTTGAAACTGCCTCGTGCGTGTTTAAATGTGTACTCCGCCATAAAGTATAACTGATTTATTATATATCCTAATCCTAATACATGTAATAATTAAGTCAAGTCAAATTACAATTTGTTTATTTTATTTTCATATACACATTTTGTAATATTTAAAACAACTTTAATATTTTCAAAATAATGAATTAATCCTAATTAACAATATAAATAAAAAAAAACCTTATTTCTTAAAAATACAAAATAATAATATGCAGTATAAATTTTTTATTTGAATAATTAAAATTTTATAAAAAAAATTATTATTAATGATACAATAATATATGATATGCCGTGAATATACTATAAATACAAATTTTACAGTCTGATTAATCTATTTTAAAAACTTTATTTTTAATTACGATTTAAAAAAAATCTGGAATGTCCCTACGTAATCGATATAAATAAACTGAAGTTTTGTAATTTTAAATATATACAGTATATGACGAATAGTTTAAAAAAACATTGATTTTATATAAAGAATAAACAACCGAATCTGAAGGAAATAAAGATGTAAGATTCACCCCCGAAATAATATTTTCTAGATTTTTCTTAATACAGTACATTCAGTACATTGTTACGATATCTTTACTACAAGCGATATATTGAATCAAGAAAGGTACCCTCATCATCACATGCCATTACGGCGAGGTGATTTTAGACATACGTGAAAAAGAACAACACGATAGAAATCGTGGATGTAATGAACAATAATATTCGATTATGTTAGATCAGTGAGCACGGGTCAAGAGAATATTGTCCGAGAATGTAAAAGATGCGTGTATATTCAAGGCCGTCTTCGTAAGCTAAAGGATTAAGGATTAGGTTTGCATGGTTAAGTTCAAGTCACCTTTTCATTTTGAACGTTGGAATTATTTCATGATAATTCAAATAAATTAACGGGATTCACTAAAGTTTTTTATAAATAAACATTCCCTTTAATTAATTATGATTTATCGCACATTGAGAAACTAAATTAATTCAATTCACCTAGCATTTTATCTAATGTTGTACCGAGGTTTGGCAATAGTTAATGTTCCCCCCGATTGGAAGGAAGAAAAGAACTCGGAATATTGTTGCTCGGCATTCTTTATGCGACTCGGAATATATCGCGTCATATGACGTCACCAGAACAATCTGTCGTATTAGAAAAACAAAAAACAAAAAAAAGGATGGTTAATTCACTTTAAACTTTAGGACTCATCATTCGATTGACGTTTCCTTAATTTAGAGATAAAAGGGTAAACCACCATTGAGAGTTACTAAAAAGTTATTCTCTGATCATCGTTTGACATACAGTATACATCAATTTCAAATTTCTTTACCGCTCACCCATTTTTTCCTACTTTAAACATGAAACAAAGTCATGAAAAAAGAAAGAATACGTACAAGCTTTTACGGCATTTAAAACCTGAAAATTTTTTACGAAATCGCCAAATACAACAAGTAGAGATTCGTCGTCAAAGTCGTGAAGAAATGGTTTTTGCTCGTCGTAATTTTACAATGACCCACACCGACTCTGACTCTGATGAGGAAGAAGTCCATGACGAAAATTTCTTTTCATTTGACAAAATGGTTGAAAATGTACTATCGGACTCTGTTGATAAGCAATTACGGTCTCTCACGGAATTTCGAAAACTGCTCAGCACCAAGAATCCGCCAATCCAACGAGTGATTAGCCTTGGCGTAGTTCCTCGATTCGTGGAACTTTTATCCTCTGAACACGAATTCATTCAATGCGAAACATGTTGGACATTGACCTACATCTTATCAAGCGCTGATGAGCAACATGTGCAAATTGTCACGGATGCAGGGGCGATTCCTTTATTGGTCATGTTGTTGAGCAAGAACGATGCTTGTATTATAGAACATGCCGTCTGTGCATTGATTGATATTGCCGGTGAAAATAATTACTTTCGATATCTCGTTTTGAATGCCGGAGCCGTTAGCTCCTTGCTAAATGTTCTCGGTAAAGTACAAGATGGATTTTTATTTCGTACACTGGTTTGGGCCCTTGCGACCTTTTGTTCTGGAGAAATGGTTTCAGAACTAGATTGGTATCTGATCGCTCCGGCACTTCCCATGTTATCAAGTTTTCTGGATTCAAAGGATGAAATAATTCTCGAGCGAGTTTGTTGGACTTTGGGTTCCCTGGCCGAAGGGAGCGTTCAACAAATTCAAAGAATCATGGAATTAGGAGTGTGTCCTAACCTAGTACGATTAATGGATCATCCATCTAGAGAAGTCAAGATTGCAGCAATACGATGTGTCACGAACATGATTACCGGCGATGACTTTCAAACTCAAGTGGTCATCAACTGTAAAGCTTTGCAAGTCTTGCGTAGCCTACTTTTGAGCGATAATGACGCCTATATTCGAAGAGAAGCATGCTTACAACTTTCGAACATTACCGCGGGCACAGTTGAACAGATTGAGGCGGTTTTCAATGCCGGGATTTTTCCGACATTGATCGACCTCATGATGATCGCCGACTTCAATACACGCAAAGAAGCATGCTGGGCGGTATCCTACGCCATCATTCAGGGTTGCGGTTGTTCCGAACTGATACTTGAGATTGTTCAACTGGGATGCGTCGAACCGATGGTGGAAATGCTAAACTTCAAAGATAACAATCTTATACACTTGGTGTTGAGTGCAATTGAGATAATACTTCATCTCAGCATGACACGCGCAAGTGAGAATAAGATGGCTTTACACATTGAAGAGATCGGAGCTTTCGCCAAGATATACAATCTTCAATTTCACGATAACAACGAAATCCACGAAATTGCAACTTACATCATCGAAAGATATTTTGAATCCGATGAAGAGGACAATGGTCAATTAGACCTTCTTTATCGATGAATCGGAGACGCGTGCTTGATTTTGGAGGTTTGTGCACATAAAAATAAAAGACTTATGATTGACGTTGTTAGAGTTGACAGAGCCTGACGACGCATTTGCACAAATAGGCAGCGTAGCTGAATACGAATATGACAGATAAGTACGGTATCCGATATTTATCGCCGGATATTCCTAAGCAATTTACACGATCTTCATTTAAAAACATCAAGGAAAAAAAAATTGCACGAATGAAATGTATTTCTACAATGAATTATTTAAATTTCGAGCACACAAAGCTCAGTTAAATTTTGGAAATGAAATTAAGTTGTCTTTTAAAATCTCATTAAAAGTATTTTCAAAGATGTCAAATACACTTTTTGAAGTCTTAACAACATTGCAATCATGCATCATCCCAATGTTCATGCCACCGGGAAATCGTTCCAGCGCACCAAAAAAACCACATCCAGCATTGGAACCACCAACCGAATTTTCATCTCTATGTCATTCTATATAATCTATCATTCAAAGAGACATGCATATATCCAGCATACACTGCATATATGACATACATATATATATAAACTAGTAGCAATCACAATAATCACAATCATCACCTAACTGATAAATGTGGGAGGTCATTGAATCCAAACAATTTTTTACACCACATCCAATAGTGATGGAAGGATAAAAAATGCACCTGCACACAGATCTCCACAACCATTCCAATCCCAGATAGACATACAAACTAAACCAATACAGGTAGACACCCACCACAAACAGAATCAGCGGGATCAACATTAACACCCTTAACAAGAACAGCAGCACCACAGAGAATACAATGCTCACAGTAATCTTCAAATTTCCCTTTTCGCCATCCTTTGCCCAAGTTGAAGCCAACCGTTTGAATTGGTTGAATGCTTTGTCAAATGGAGGTTCGATAAAGAAGTAAATTAGTGTGACGGGAATTGCACAGAAACCAAGACAGAAACCAATCATAATGCCAACTCTCAATTTGTGGTAAAAGAAATCGATGAATTCCTTGATCTTGTTAGGTATGGTGGTCGAATAGAGATGAGAAATTTTTTTGTCGATGATGAGGGCATCCTGAATTGGACGCAAGATCGGCGAATCGACGAGTTCCTCTTTGATCGAGTTGCCCAGGCAGAATTGATAGAAAAGAAATATGATTGACATGAGCGCGGATTCTTCGTGGTATGGATATTCGGGTCGCTTTACTTGAACGACTATGGGCAGTATGAGGGTGATGAATAGACTCTGCGCGAGACATGCTTGTAAACTTGCTGGTAATATTATCGCCATGTAGAAAAGAATGAGTAATGGAGAAAGTATGACAGTTGCAAATTTGAAGGGTCGTGAATATGTTTCATTTGCCATTATTCCAGCGTATATATCATGTATCGAAGGAATGAACCAAATCGCATAATTGTAAAAATTTGATATAATACACGACGTTAATATCGGGATGAAATATATGTTAAATTCGAAAAAAATGAGACTTGCTCTAAAGAATACAGACATGATGATTAGCGTTTTCTTTTTTCTGTAGAAAAAAAAATTCACTCGGGGAAAAAAAAAAAAAAAAAAAAAGGTGTTCGGATAATGAATTTATGAATAAACGAAAAAGAAAGTCAAGAATGATTCTCTTTTGACGCCTTATTCTTATGAAATTCTTAGTGAAAGTCGCCCGTCCATTCCTTTCTTTAAAAGTAAATTTGCGAAACAACCTAGAAGTCGTGTGTAACATATATAACCATCGATTAACATGTGATAAAACCAAGAAAATCACGTGCTCACTACGTAAGATTTTGATCGATAAACGATTGTCCTCCGTTAAAGCCTTATTAATGTTAATGTTTATTTAGCCTCAAGATCATTTTAGTTTAATAAATGATGTTTTTTTCTTTGAGGATATATTCGATCATTCAACGTCAAAAATTAAAGTTTACTGCGATCCGGAATAATTCTTTTGAATAAATAAATGAATATATTATATATAAGTATTGTATATAATACATACAAATAATATAATATACTGTATACATGTTACGATACAAATGTCATGTTCTCACACTACTCTAATTTATTCAAGTTGGATCAATTTATTACGATACACGTGGTCACATTAACTTTTTCATTAGCGTTTCATGAATCCGCTTGCCAATTGGCATCTACTTATTTTTCTTACATCAAGTGTCTTTTCAATTCAAAATTGCGTGTCTCATCTGGTCACCTCGTGAATCGCTTCGGCAAGATATTTGACATTGGAAGATGAAATGCCGGCAATTGAAATACGACCATCTTTTGTAAGGTATACGTGATATTCTTTAATGAGACGGTCGACCTGTTGAGAAATATGAATTTTTTCTTAAAAAAAAACATTCTTCTAACGTCCAACTAATCCCATGACAAAAAAAGGATTCTGACCTGTTCTGGATTCAAGCCGCTATAACAAAACATCCCAATTTGATTTGTTATATGATCCCAAGAATATTTAGAGCCAAAATCTTCAACCAAGTGATACTTCAGTTTGTTGCGCATCGTAATTATGCGATCGGCCATGAGCTTAACCTCGCCAAGCCTATATCGTTTAAAAAATTTGCTTGTTTGTTAGCCTTTTTGAGAAATCTGATAACACCATGGTGATCGCAAACTTACCATTCTTTATATAGTGCTGGATCGGAGAGTACATAACTTACAATCCGGGCTCCATTGATCGGAGGATTAGAGTACATTGGTCGAATGATCAACTTGATCTGTGATTCTATTGCCGCCTTCTCTTTCAAGCTCTCGGAGATTATCGAGAAAGTTCCAACACGCTCGCCGTACAATCCCATGTTCTTAGCAAATGATTGTGTCAATGCTATTCTGTGCCCATCAGCGACAAACTTTCTTATAGCATATGCATCGTGATTCGTGTCTCCTGATGCGAATCCTTGGTAAGCCATATCAAAAAGCGGAAAGTGTCCACGTCCCTGAATTGATGACATGAAAAAGCACAGTTAGGTGTCTATCAAAAGGACACGAAAAACTCATTAATCCGATGAAAGTTAAAAAATAGATGTGTCCATGTACTTTGATAACTTTAGAAAGTTCATCCCATTGTGCAGGTGTAGGGTCTACACCGGTAGGATTATGCGCACAAGCGTGTATCATAAAGATCGAATTCCTGGGTGCATTCTTTTAGAACAGGGCATAATTCATCAGTAACGAGAATTCTCTACGAAAATTGTGATGTGAAAAAAAAGAAAAAGAAAATCACCTGGATGTCCTCAAGGAAACCCTCGAAATCTAATCCGTTCGTTGACTTCTTAAAATATCTATATTGTTCAGTTTCAAGTCCAGAACTTTTAAATACGGCGTTGTGATTACCCCACGTCGGTATTGGCAAATATATTTTCTTATTATGGGGATAAAATCTACTCAAAAATTCACCGGCAATCCTAAGCCCACCTGTGCCCGAAATCGATTGTGTGATTGCTATCTAGAAAGAATCAAAATCACTAGTCACGATCAGAACGTTTATCGAAGCCAATGATGAACACGGCCTTACCCTCCCCTCTTGCAGTGGCTCGGAATCAGCACCGTAGGCCAAAGTTGCGGCTTCTTTGGTAAAAGATGGAAGACCAGTGATGGGGAGGTATTCCTTGTTTAGTTTATCTTCAACAATCTTTTTTTCCGCCTACATTTTCACATCAGAAAGTTGAGATAATCCATCATTACAAGTTCTCTTTCCCCCATTCTTCTTGCAAAATCGCCGAATAGCAAATGAATACCTTTTGAACAGCATTCAATACATAGGGTTTCCCGGCGTCATCGCGATAAGCACCGACACCCAAGTTCATTTTCTTGGGATGAGAATCTTTTTTGAAGGCCTCGGTAACGCCAAGGATTGCATCAGGTGGACCTTTTGAATTTAAAATTTTTTAATTCGTGCATTGCAAGAAAGAGAAAGGAAAGAAAAAGTCGATTCTGCCTTTTGCGCAAAATTCGCATTCCTAAAGTCTCAACAGTCCAATAAGTGGAGTGGAATACCTTGAGGGATATGTGCCCAACTAGTGATAAAAGCGACATTTGAAGTTGGGAAAACCTTGGAACGAACTCCACGGTCGAACAAACTTGCACCGCGTGAAAAGCGAGAGGATAACATTGCCAAGAGGTAAAGTTATTGACAGATAAACTCGTAGATAATCAGATAAAAAGGGTTTCCAAATTGAGACTTGATTTACAATGCATCGATTATCGGTACAAAAAAAAAAAATTCGAAAGACCGAATTAAAATAGTACAGTATTTGTCAGAAAGGTGCAATTTGTTTCACGTTGTCCCTAAATATTTTGCCATCCTTCATCTAATTTAATTGACCGATGAAAGCCTCTATTTTCTCCACAATGAACACAATCAAATAGTAAATGATGATACTTAATAAGAAATACCGAAAAACAAAGCATTTTCAACTTTTACCCGTAGCAGTTGATCATGCAAACATTACGCCATAAATGTATACAGTGCAGTTAAATAATCTCGATCAAATTACTGTAACACGCGACGTTGCTTACCACCAGGACACATGACGTATGAGGCACTCTGCTTTATCCGCGCAGCAAATCTGACGAACTTATTATAAGCCTATACGTAGACAAAAAACGATGATAGAAGCCGGCATACAAAATTTTCTTCCATTATTGGTAACATAAGGAAATAATCGAAGTGTAAATCCGAACAATCATAAAACCACCACTGAGAAGTAAAAGAATTGGAAATCCGAACAATATATATAAAGGAGTTTTTTTGATTATTTTCCTTTTATGTCCAGTTTTTTCACACGTACAAAAAGGGCAACACGTACAAAAATTCACATATATACAGTTTATCTGTACGTACCTTTCTTTTCCTCTCAATGATAAGATATTAACAGTAATATGTGCAATTTTTCCAGACACTCACATCGTCAACAGAACGTTGCGTGAAAATTTCGTTTAGAGACTTCATGAAACATCTCATCTTGTGTATTTTTAACATTGCAACTTTGTGTACATATTACCTTTATTGAATAAAAAACCGCATCGCCTTCAATACATTAAATCACTTCTAAACGGAAAACCACTCAAATGTCAAATACAAACCAAGTACACATCACCGGTAAACAACATCAAAGCATAAGGGCACTCTTATACTTTGCCGTTATGTCCGTATTCGTGCGTACTTCACTAGTAAATCCACATCCACCTAAACCATCGGTAAACATCGAATACACTCCCCCGCTCACACCTTTTCCAGGCATTGTCCATACCACTAAGCGCAACGATAATGTTGCGTCCAATAGAACCAAGATAGATCACGTTGATTTCGTGTCTCGGAATCGCCTGGCATTCGGAATATTTGGTGTGATGTTTGCTAGTTGTTTAACGGATAATGTATCGTGATTAATTATAACTTAATGAATTTAAATTGTTGTCGTAAAATATTATTGTATTTAAAAATAAAATTTTTATTGAATCAAAACATAAAGTATACGTATATTATACACTACATTATACTATATCTAAGGACCTAGTTTACACAGTCAAATCGTTTGTGTTGTTGAATTTACCCTTCAATCGATTTTTCATCTGTTCGGTTGTTATTGACATACACTTTGATGCTGGCAACAGAGAAAATCACCACCAACATCCCTATCCATACATAATAAAGAACAAACCAAACACGTGACATTTCCCATAAAAAAATGCCAGACAGAACTCCCAGAAACGCAAGAATTTGGAGTAAGTAACCTACCCAACTTTTTGCAAGAAATTTTTGTTGGTCATGTTAAAACGTATTTATCTTGTTCTGGAAAGAAAAAAACACGATGATACTCACGTATGAAAATGGGATTTTCGAAATGCATGATGAATATATCCAAGAATAACTTCGATAATTGTCAAGAAAAATACAATATGTCCGATTATCTGCGTATGCACAATAGGTTAGCACACTTTTCGTGACCTCACGAACACAAAAGCAACGTACCGAATGCGGTTTATTTGCCCAATTGTTATGTGTCTTGTCCACCACATGCGCCAATGTGAATCCAACGGCGATGAATATCGTGGAAAAGAAAAATTGCAAAGACCAGTGCAAGTGAAACCACATTCTTTGGAAGGTCTTGCGGCCGAACCGTGCGATATAGATGCCAAAAGGCATTGTAACAAGGCATGCGAGTGCGGCGAAGACAGCTGTATTGCAAAATAACGGGATGGATATTATGGTTGATTATTAGCAAGAAAAAATTTGATAATTTTTATTTACCGTGTGCAATTAATAATTTTTCACTTTTAGAAAGGCCATCAGGAATTGTTGAATTGGAACTCATATTCGAAATACGCGTCTCGATATTGTCTTTATTATTATTCTGTTGAGTACTGTAGTTGTCTTTGAGAACAAGAGACGAACAGAATCGTATCAACTTTTATACCTTCTACCTATTTTCCTCCTAGCGCAGAATACAAATAATGGTATTTTGCCGTCTCATAAGGCGTTCGTGATTTTCTAAACACGACACGAAACGGATCAGGAAATTTTATAAAAGCATGCATACATGAATCAAAGAAATCCTACTATACTTTATGTATATCTTTTTTTTTTAAATAACTGAGTTTAACTACTTTGGCGACAGGTCAAAAGCCTCCAAAAATAATAAGAACCAGACACATATAGAACTTTACAAACTATAGAATCACCGGAGATGTCTTCCGCGTAGTATTTGTGCGAACGTTACTCTGGTTACACGATATGATCGTTACGTAAAAATCTTTATTCCTATTCCAACTATTTTTAGCATTTCCTTCTTTTTTTTTTTTTTCCTTACTATTTTGTATTTTTTATATTGCATGATATTTTGATTGTACCATTTAAAACGTTTTGCCAATTTACAATCGGGCTCTAAAGAAAAAACCGAAAAAATTGTACTTTCAATTATTTGAAAGCAAAAAAAAAAAAAAACGGTATAATAAATTTTATTATTTATTTTCTCGTGTTAAAAAATTTATAATAAAATAAGTTTAAGTACAGTATACCAATCTCATATACCGTAAAACCCATTAAAGATAATTAAAACGAAGAAGATATATAATGTTAAAAAAAAAAGGTTTTTTATTATCACTAGTGCAAAACATTTATAAATAAATATTTTATTTTATTTCATCAACTAACAACATCTTGCCTAATACTGTGTATGCATTATTTAATTTATATATGTATTTTTTATATTACAAAAATTTTTATCTATAAACTATATTATCTAGACTATATTAACTTTTACCTTCATATTGACTTATTGTTATCAATCCTATTTCAAAAGCTTAAGTTAACTGGACATTAGGTTAAATGCTAATATATCAAGATGTTATTGGTATTATTAACTATTTATTACTATATCAATTTTATTTTTAAATTGTAAAAAATTTTTAAAAAAATTAAAATGTAAGATACTAAAGATAATGGTTTAGTTGTTAACTAGTGTGTTAGAAACATACAATTATTAACAAGTCTATCTTAGATACTTGACAAAATCATTGTTCCATCATTATTCAAGAAAAATATCATATGACTGCTCTTTTGCCTTATCCAAAACAAAAAAACTATTCTATCAAAAGATTGACACAAATTGATTATACCATATTGATATCTGAATTATCAATATAGACAAGATTGGCAATCCTTATTTATATTCTCATTGGTTATATGATTACATACTGTAAGTCCAGATTACAATTCAAAACTCAAATATTATATCTTTTTTTTACTATCAATATTTATAAAGTATACATATATAATTAATAATTTAATTAATAACTAATAATAATTTACTATTTTTTCCTTTTTTTTTTACTTGGATTTTTAAAGGTTTATATATATCAACTTTTATTTTTTGATAGATTATATTAATTTACTTTGTAAAGATTCTTAATATATTGGTAACAAATGAAAGTTTAATAAAGATTTAATACTTATCAATATATATATATATATATATATTATTAAAATTCTATTAAATCTTAAATTGTATTTGTTTTTTAAATAAACTAAATAATCAAGTATTTATATATATTATCTTATTGTTTATAAAACTATTAAACTAATTACAATTGCCTATTTTAAAAAAGCAAATTAACAAATAATTAAAAATAAGACCTTTATAATAACCATTTAAAAAAAATATTAAATATGATAAAAAAAAATTATCAAACTATTTTATTTAAAATTAAATACCTTATACAGTGTGATACAAAAAAAATCAAAATTATATATTTACTTATAATTCAATAACTAACTAATCAAATTATATAAAACTTTATAAATAAATTTTTTAATGTCTTATCAATAAGTTTGTAATAAGTTATATATAAAA